GTGGTTGTCATGCCAGACCTGACAGGGTGTGAGGGCCAAGTTATCGAAAGACAGGAGATAAGGGGGGTGGAGGGAGTAAGTGCGAGTAACATACCGCAAACATACGACACACTAGTCTAAATCTTTAAACCGAATCAATAACCTGTCATCTGAACACTTAAATGATTCAAAATGGGACAGAGACTAGAAAGAGAGAGCGTATTTCTCCTATACTGGCTTCTCTTTACTGGCTGCCAGTTAAATGCATAATCGAATTTAAAATCCTTCTCTTCGCATGAAGATCATAAATAATCAGGCCCCGTTCAATTTAATTCAATTCAGTTAAATTCAACTCAACTCAGTTTTATTTATATATCACCAAATCACAACAGTAATCTCAGGCATTTTCTGACAATAATGGAGAAAACCTCAACAATCAGAACAACCCCTTATGAGTGAGCATTTGGCAACATCGGGGAAGAAAAACTCCCTTTTAACAGGAAGCAACCTCCATCAGAACCAGGCTCAGAGAGGGAGACAGGACAAAAGATACACTGAATCATCAGTTATGCAGCAAGATGCTTAGGATGCTGCAGACTTCCCTTGATTCAATGAGTATTTCGGCTTTAATCAGCTGTTTTCTCTCTCTGTGTTCATACACCACTCAGCATTTCATTATTAGTCACTATTCATCTCTTGCTCATGTCTACAGTGTGTCTTTTGTCCTGTATCAGCTGATTGAATGTATAGAGTTTGATTATAGTAAATCCAAAAGAAACAAATAAAAGAGGGCAGTATGGATCCTACAGTTATGGCATATGAATAAATCCATGTTCATTATAGAAAATTATTATCACACTATTATTATCACACTCTGCGATACTCATTCTAGCCACACTTCCCTGCAGCTCTCCCAGCTCTGATTCGATGGCCGATTCGTCTCTTTTGTTCTTTAACTGGTGAGTTTATCTAAGCTAATACATCACTTTGACTTCCAAGTTTCAGGACAAAACCAGCAAAATGAAACTGAGTTAATTCATGCACACTGATTATTTCTTTTCCCTTCAGGTCTGTCAGCTCTTTGGGGGTGGATAAGTCGGCTTGTGGGAACCCTCCGAGGTATAAAGCACATCCCTCATTTTACCATTTAAAACAAAATCTGTTAAACAGGAGCTGACTTTTTCCACTCCATGTCTCGTGTCTCAGTAATCCAGACCTTGTTTAGGTGGCTGTCTCGGATTTGGCGCTTTTTAGCCAGTAAGTATTTCTCGTATCTTTGTTGGATTTCGTTTTCTCTTCACTGCGTGTTGCAAATAGGCTTTTTCGGAGAGAGCGTAAAAGAAAACGTTTAGAATCTGAGTGGCTATCAGAGGACGTGACCCAGCAGTGCTAGGAGACATGTGACAGCAGTTTAAAATGTGAAGGCATCACAGCTGTTTCTGTGATACATGCGAGTAATTACAACACTAATGTAAATTTCTGTCTGCTTGCTTCCTCAGCATTTTCCTCAAGGTTCAAGTGGATCGCTGCTGTCATCAAAGCCATCAACAGTCAGTTTGTTGTCTTTTTTATTAGCTATATTTAGCTACATACTCTATATATCAATATGTATTTGTTCATTTTTTGTAGTTTGTTTTTATGCTTTTATGGGATTTGTCTCACAAAACGATCAATGGTCTCAGAAGCTAGTGGTTTTACAGAATCAACCTTATGAGAGGTTTTCTGGTATGTTTAAGAACTCTCATTCAAAACTCCTTCAGTTTCAGGATATTTCAGGTTCTTGCGTCCTTATAATGCCCATTTTGCATTATAAGGATTATGGAGTGATTCATTTTTCTGAG